AGTAAAAAATAAGCTATATTATAATAAAAATGAATCAACCCATTAACTGGGTTAAATCAGCCCATTATGATGAGTTGAAACAACCCAATTTGCTGGGTAAAATTAACCCCATATGTGTTCTGTCCTATATTTACCCAGCCCTTGGGTTAAAAACAACCCAAATTGGGTTGTTTTTAACCCAGTGTTTTTTAGAGTGAGAGGACAAGCAGTAATAGATAAGTTATTATGTGTACGTTTATTCCCCTATTCATTCCCCTATATACATAAATCATGCAGAATGATATTGAGTTTTAGTTTTGAATTTGACATTTTCTTTGCAATTGGACAAGGAGAAAGTCTTTCCCATGAAAACACTGACTATTGACATGGCTGTCTAATAATAGCTATGGGGGGGGGGGGGGAATCTTGTAAAAGGGTACACATAAAAGATTAATGTTCAGACACAGTTTGTTCTTCACAAAGTCTAACAGAATACAGAGTCTCTTTCTGTCTTTGATGTGTTTGAGACACACAGTTTCTTCAAAGTCTTTAGTTCTCCTTTAACAGCAAAACCTGCACTAAACATTTTCTATAACTGCGTATAAGGCTTTTGACCAATTTTGAACCATCTCACCCCACAAACCTTTATCAGTTTATCTATATTTCTGGGATGTCTTTATGACAGCCTGACAAATATTCCCTTCTGTTCTCTCCCAATCCTAAAATAAACACATGGTTTAATGATGCATTGAATTTATAGATTACAATTTGAGCAAACTGTAGCTAAACAAAGAAGTCTTCGAAAGATGTATGCTGCTACTTTAGATAAATCAATGAGAAAACAACTTTGCATTAGTCTTTTGATTATTCTTTCCTGTTCATGTTCATTCGTGTTGTTTCTGAAGTTTGATGATGCTTACACAGTTCTGGAAGAACATTTGTTAGATAGGATGAGCTATAAAAAAGTATACTTTAGATATAGATTACAAATACATAACTTCTTTCTTTAAAGTTGGTCCTATGTTTGTGTATGGCTATTAGTAGCCTAGGTTTAGGAAAAATAAGTATTTTGCATTTCTGAGAAAAACTTATAAATTCTTTAATAAAATTAAGAAAATAAATATTAGAATAAAAATATGCTGAATAAATAAAAAATAGATTTATGTTGGGAATTTGTAATGTAGTGAAGAACAAAGATCGAACACACAAACCAAGACCATTTTAAAATATAAATATCACCTTCCTCTCCTTTTAAAAAAAACAAAAAAGATAAAACTGATAGTACAACCTTTCACTTGCAGCATACAGATGTTTCATTTAGTTTTAGTCCACAGCTTATTTAAGAATCGTATCTTTTCAAATAACACCTGTTGACAGAACAGAGTCTTCTTCTGTTTTTGACGTGTTAGTGCTTTGGAAAAGTCTAATGATTCCAGAGTCATGCAGTTTCTTCCAAGTCTTTATCTCCAGGCCATAGTCATGGTTAATAAAGAAAATTACACTGGTTTTTTTGAACGTTTCATAATAATAGTTGGAGTACTTATGGTGGTCTTCTGTAATAAATCCATAGGCGTCCACCTGATATTGAGCAATAAAGCATTTTCAAGTAATATTTATAAGGTATTAGTAATATATGTCAAATATGATTATAACAGAAAATTGTATTTTAGAGTACTTCCAGTGTTAAATAGCTACAAACAACTTGATGAATAAGCTGAACGAATAGAAAATAACTACTGCGTTTACTTACAATATCACATGTGTGAAGAGCCAAGAACAAAGCAAACGCTCCATTGGTCGGTCTGTACATTGCCCAGTGAATGCCCTGCATTTGTTTGGATGGCATGAATCTGTTTTTTTAAAAAACAGGGGTCATTGAAAAGAGATAGATCACACTTAGATTGTGGTAGATTACTGTAACATAAATGTTACCTGTTGCGAATGTATCGAAGAAAGTCAGGGTGAAGAACATAGAATCTACTCTCGTTAAATTTCCCTTTGAAATATTTCAGTGGCCTATGCAAGAATAAATGCAAATGTATTTTTTTTAAACAAATCAATAACATAGTAATACATTTTCACCCCTTATCATGCTGAGGTGGAGCCACTGTTGCAATGCTATTCTAGCACGGTTTGAGAGAACTAGAGCTGGATACTGTACCTCACACCCTTGAATGACCCATTGGCTTCTTTTCCCTGCAAAAGGCCTTGGATCCACTCAAAGTCCCTCAGGCCTTCGGGGATCATTACATATCTGATGCCCTATTAAAAAGGTTTACAATTTTTTTTGATCAAATAAATGCAACCTTGGTGAGCATAAGAGACTTCTTTTAAAAACACGAAAAAAATCTTAACCTCAAACTGTTGAACGGTAGTGTACGTTGTGTAGTGTATTTATATAAATAATTCTCAATGAAGAACACAGCAGCACAAGCAAATTGTACTGAATATTTGCTTTTTAAGACAGAGTCCAGTGTAGAATATACTGACCTCATCTTGTGGAATACTGTTAAAGCCGTACTTTTTTAACATCAGAATGTTGGCATATAAGGAAAAAGCTGTATGTACATAAACTGATGTTCTGTTTCCAACATCCTCCTCGTAACCTTGAGTAACAGCCCCATTTACTCTGTTTCAGAACACACACAGTAAAGACCTCAGTAAAGCAATCTGTTATCGGCATGCATTATCATTAACATAACTATTTCATTCAGTTGTCAACTCTCCCTAGCCATTTTTTACTAAGCTAAGTGATTTTATTATAAAACTTTTACATGTTTTAACTCTTACCGAAAAACATAATCATGGGAGTCTATCTCTTTGCCCATCTTTGAGTTATTGAGAATGCCACCAGAGCCCACAACAGCACAGCGGATACAGCCATCCTTTGAACTTTCAGGCACAGGCAGTAGTACTGATGACTTAGGCTTTGGTATCAAATCCACTGCTCTTTTTACCTCTTCAGTGAAAGAAAAAAAAACTGCAGTTTATGAAACGTAAAGTGCATAGTGGGGACAGTAGGTCATCTAAAGGAATAGTTGACCCAAAAATGAAATTTGCTGAAGATGTACTCACCCTTCAGGCCATCCAAGATGTAGATGAGTTTGTTTCTTCATCGATTTAGCATTACATCACTTGTTCACCAGTGGATCCTCTGTAGTGAATGGGTGCCGTCACAATGAGAGATCAAACAGCTGATAAAAACATCACAAGTAATCTACAAGTAATCCAAATGACTCCAGTCCATTAAATAATTAAACTTCATAATCTATAATAACTCTTCCTTGTGTCCATCTCTGATGTCCGCAAAATCCACATATTTGTTTAGAACCGTTTTAGACTTCACTTGTAAACAGTGTTTAATCTGTACATATTTCTCTCCTGATTCAGATGAGACCACGTTTTCACTGGAGAAAGCAAGGTTAAAACATCTTGATGGATTTGTTTATTACAAACCAGCAGCTTTTCACTTCACAACATGTTAATTGAGGGTCTGGAGTTGTGTGGATTATTGTGATGTTTTTAGCAGCAGTCTGAACTCCCATTCTGACGGCACCCATTCATTTCAGAGGACTGGTGAGCAAGTGATAAAAAGTCTCCAAATCGGTTTCAATGAAGAAACAAACTCATCTACATCTTGGATAGCCTGAGGATGAGTAATTGTTTTAGTAAATTTTCATTTTTGGGAGAACTATTCCTTTACTTCATGTTTGCAAGTTTAACTCAATCAACAGTGTTTGTGGCCAAATGGATATTTAAAGAAAAAAAAAAGTTGTTCCTTTTTTAAATCAAGATTACAGTGAAACATTTAGAGTCCCAAGTTAATGGCGCAAATTTTTAAAGGATTTAAAGTAAATAAAATGCTTACTTAAAAAATTTTTTTATTCTGTTTACAAACTGTTCTCATCATTTTTACAGTTGTTTTAATGTTACACTGTCATGACAAAAAAAGTTGTAAAATTAGATATAAATTCACAAAAAAAGGGTAAATCAGTGATTTTTTTACACTAAATTAATGTTAACACATATTAATTATGTTTTTCAGCTGCAGTACTGAAAGAGTGAATAAGTTTATTGACTGACTGACCATATTTACCATTATAACCCAGAACTCCTATTGTCCCTAAATGTAGACCGGGACTTGATTTTGTTCAGTGGGAATTGATCGGATCATTGTTGTTTGCTATTGCTGGGATCTCATGCGTGACAAATCACTGCACACGTCATCAAAAAATAAATAAAATGACGTTGCAAGGGGGAGGGGAAGTTATATTATTTAAAGATTACAAGGACACATGAATTTTTTTAAAATAATGATGTGCATGAATAAATCCTTTATAATAAACACTGCAATATTCCATTTAAAGGGGTCGTATGATGCGATTTCAATTTTTCCTTTCTCTTTGAAGTGTTACAAGCTCTTGGTGCATAAAGAAGATCTGTAAAGTTGCAAAGACTAAAGTCTCAAATCCAAAGAGATATTCTTTATAAAAGTTAAGAGTCAACCACTCCTACCTAAAACGGATCGTTCTAACACGCCCCCACATATCTACCTCACTATGTGGGAAGATTTGCATAACACAGCCCAAATGTTCACGCAAAGAAAGAAAGCATAACTTTTATTCTCGCTGTAGTATTGATGCCGCCATGTCGAGACGCTGTGTGTTTCGTTGTGAAAGC